TCCGTGTCGTAGACGGCAGGAGGAGAAATGCATACTTAAAAAGAGTAGCTATAAGAGGCGGGTTTGCCAAGCCATCACGCAGACAGTCGGCTAATGCAGACACGAAGAGTATACTGACCTGCTTTTGCAGACATTGACTGAACCTTGCATTATGCATACTTTTGAATGCTAACAAGGATTCCAGGTTACTAAATTGATCAGGCCGTGACGTGCTGATTTTGACCCTCTGTGAAATTTCGCATTCAGTAGGTTGTGCACTCACCAAGGCATTTGATCCCGTTCATATGCACGAGCATTCCCTTCTTTACGCTTATTGACTGAGTACCAGGAGCCAGTAATATTTCGTTGATTGATAAGACATCCCTGACCATCCTTTGTTTGGTGAAATTCCGACTCGTTTCCACCAGATTCTTCATTCCACGTTTTTTTCGCTCTTGATGGTGGGATCTTCAGTGGTTTTTCGTCGCCTTCCTCGTTTTTAAGTTGCCGTCTAGTGGCCATTTTATATTCATTTGGTTTACCGTTATGCTATCTTAGTCAGTACCTTCGCGACTCTTAAAGTGATCCTGCCTTCACCCCCTAGGTGAAATCCGAAAATACCGCAATGCATACCTCCAAGATCGCGCCAGGTTCCCTTTCTACTGTGAGTACATTGTAAGTTTAAACGGGGAACGGAGTTGGATTTTTGTCTGGTTGTATTTCCGTTCAGTTTAACTCCTCTGTATTGAATCTTGACAGATTCACTTTGAAGATATCCCCTGTTTCATAGAAGGTGGAACTGGAATGTCTTAGAGTAGTACTTCTGATGGGCAGATAGTTCAGTTCAGTTTTATTAAGGAAAAGATAGATGAACGCCTTTGAACCGGTAGCTGATTGCCGATAGATGTAAAGGGGCCATTTCCAAGAAGCAGTTCAGAAGAAGACGAATATGCGATCGTTAGAACAGGAAGTTTAGTGACCAGACGTCTCGAACTCTCGCTCATCTTGCCATGACCCGGCAGCGGTGATGTTATGTCGGCAATTTACGACCTGGACTCGCAGTAACGAGCACTCGTCTCATCATGTACAGCACCAGGGATGAGCCTAAATTCTGCTAAGTAGGTGAGCAATGTGATTGCATGGCAATTGCGTTTTATAAGCCCTGCGATCCTTGAGCCTCTCATGATGGGTCCGAGTGACTATCCGAAACGTCAGACAAACAAATACATGTTCCAGCGATCGCATAATCATATTATTCTTCTAAATGGCACCTGATTTATACTTGCTGCAGGTGGCTCTTCTTCTTTTCTATCACAGTATTTGCCATGCTCCAGCGTGAAATAGTTGACTTCACGGAATGGCGCCGTAACGTTGCAGTCGGTTGGGCGGGTAACTTGACCCAAGTGTGATTAAACTCACGGCCCACAGTGGAGCCCTCTTACCTCAGTTACCTAGGGCGTCGGCTGTACTAAAGCTTTCCCTTTGTTGGCGTGGGTTCGAATCCCACTGAAACCGCCGTGGTTTACACAATTGTACCAAATAATTTATTAAAATCTGCCAAATCCCTACAATTATTAGTCATCATCAGCCAGTCGTACCCGACCCCAGGTGGTGTATCACCCGAGGCTCGAATCCGCGATCTGTTGGTTAGGAGTCCAAACGCTCTGACCCATTGAGTTATGGGCTCGTTGACTTGTCGTTTTGGATTGGGAATATTGATAGTGTCGGTGTAACCGCCGTGTACTACTGGTCATCTTTTGGCAGTTTAAGGATATTGCACGGTTATCCCACTATGGCTAACAGATCTCGGCAGAAATAAGCGTCTGATCTGAGCCTGAAAAGCCTTATTCAGACTGGCTTACTTTAATTTACAGATTCGCTTCTAACGAAATTATAAAGCCGAAATTCAAACCAAATCTTTAACTGATAGAAGATACGGACTTGGCGTTGCACCGATAACAAACTAATCCTCCCCACATATCGGAGGCCTTTTTAAGTTCCATTAAGTGTGTTTTGACGAGAGGTTGTGTACTGTTCCTCGGCCAACCCTCTCCTCCCTCTGTTGTGTCCATGGAAGAGCATTGGACCCATGAGAGAAACCCTCTGAGCGACAGCGTCTGACTCCACGTTCACGACTGCTTGTCCGTATTTACTTGCGTTTGCTGACTACAGCTATAGTTGTGTTAATTTTTTTAACTTTGGCAGCTGGCAAACGCCAACAATTCCCATTCAATTGCCGAGAGCTTTTCTGCTGTCATTAACCGCGAGGTGGAGCGTGATGCTCAGTTGAAGGGGCGCCTGCTGCCCCAATTGAATCGCCTAAAACAGGAGTACGAAAGTGTCGCCTCTCATTGGTAAGTCCCCTGGCATGTCCTTCATGTTCTTCCTATTATAAACTTGCCACAACTCTCGATCTTCGCCCCAACATCTTGATAAAATCGCTAAAGGAAAACTCAGTAGCAAGAACGAAGGAACAAAATTGTTTTGACATCTTACTACAACTTATTTAAGGTCAACAAAGGGAAATACGCGTGTGTACAAGGTTGCGCTGTAATCAGACCAGTCTAAAGTGTCTTTGAGGGGTTAGCATTTCGACTGGTCTTCCGAATCATCCGTATGGTTTGGTAGAGCAATAATCCGATCGAAAGCTTGCGCGGTATCACGACGCGCATGGCCCATAGGCCGATTGATATTGTGGCCTGGGAACGAGTCGTCAGAGCGGCGTACGAGCCAGTCGGTTAGAGCTGCTCGTTTCCTCACTATATACGATCTGACGCAGTCGAAGCTATCGTGGTGCGTTAAAAGCCGTGGCTGTTTACGACTATTTCTGTGTGAAGATATTTCTATCTTTAGTTTATTGCACTTTAGGTATTTGCATATAAAACAACTGTGCCAATTACAAAAACTCTTCACTTTTCCCCCTCATCTCCCTACCCATAGCATGATGTGCGTTGAGGAAACAGTCTTTCTGGATTTAAACAAGGTCCTTGACGCTGTGCTAACACGTGAATGGTAAGCACTTACAACCGTTTTTGAATCCTCCTCTATACTATATGTATTTCGTAGGTCTGTGGTACAGCTGCTAACCCTCCAAGTTTTACTCTACTCCTGACAGGCTCAGTCCCGCCGATCTGACACCTCAGTGTCTCACAGGGACGCTATTGGACTACAACGAAACGCTAGTTCATGCCAACGACAAATACTACAAGTCGTTGCTTCCGCGAATAGCTACTCGCCTTCTGGTGGAACATCTCAAAGTCCTCTTAACACGGTGAGGCAACCGAGCAAAACTCTGCCCTCTTCCCCAATTTGCAGTAGATATACCATATCATGAAATTTTAACTGAAATTCCAAACAAAGTTTGCGGTTAGAAAATTAAGATCATGCTATTTGTTGACTTGCAGTAGCATCTGAACTGCCTTCATTCATGCCAGGATTCCGGCTTTTGACTGAGTTTCTTCCCAATACCCTGCAAAAATACGCTCTATAAAGAATAAATACTTTTTAGGAGAGCGTGGTAGATTTGAATAGTTCAATTGGGTTAATTCAGTGACTACCTAGTCAGTACGCGTGTTTTCCATTGAGCTTCGATGTCACATATTGCGTGGTGGACCACCTGTGTGTGCGCATGCTTTTGTTTCCGGTCCCAGCTGGTGGTCAGGATTATAGTTGGCTGAATGAAGGCAAATAAGCCTGAAACAGTTCTGTATCAAGTTACCCCCAAACGCGGTAGTCCCCCTCTGCTATGATAGCTTTGTCGACTTCGGCCTAGCAGGGGGATTTGCCTGCTTTTTTACTTCAGGAAGCCAATTAGATCGACATTCGAATCCGCGACCCGTTGGTCATGGAGTGTAACACTCTACCCTTACACCACGTGTTCGTTTTTTTCGGTTGCGATCGGGAATTTGACGATAGTATGGGGCTCATCGATCTAGTAAACAACCGTTTATGTTCAATTTTTGCCTTGGATCTCACTCTACAGCCCCCAATCGCATAGCAACTTTAAGTATATGAGGAAGTGGATCAACAAACACAGGTGTAGTGTTACACATCCTTGCCAAGGAGTCGTGGGTTCGAATCTCGGGTGGATGGATTTTCCCCTTTAGTCGTAATAAACAACATCACAAGCTCCACATGGTATCTTTTGGACGGTTTCTTTCCTGTCAAGATAGCCACCCCTATCCTTAGTATTTGCGAGCTGAGTGCATAATGTAGTTGTTGGTTTGTACTATTAAGAAGATGTCATAAAAGGCTCCTGAAATTTTGCAATCGATGTGGACCACTTTGCGTATTTTATAGACAACATTAATCAATGGACAGACATGATACTTTATAATTCAGCGTTTCGCGGTCTCGTAAATAGAAAACCTTTTTTTTTAAACCGCAACACAACTTCCACGAATAGTCACCCGAATGCTAGTGGAACCCCAAAGGAATAAAATCATGCTCCTTACTCTGATTTACTATTTGCTTAAGGTAGTCCACTCCGGGCCTTAGTTTCATATTGACTGCCTCTTTTCTTCCGTCTCGCACCCGCTCCCACTAGGACTCTCCACTTCTCTGATTTCGAACGACGCACAGCCGGGGAAAAACTTCTTAATACCAGCAACTTTTTGGTGTCCTTCTTTGAGGAGCAGATGCCGGTTTCAAGGGAGGTTAGTTCTACACCTGTCCTATTCGTCAGTCTCAAAGTTTTGTCTGTTCTAAGCCCTTGTACTTTAAGCCTGTTGAGACAGCCATTTTTCTGTTGCTTATAATTGTGTAGCATGCTTTGTTTTGGCTGTGGTCGCAGCAACAAGTTGAGCAGTTGATGCGCGAGTCAGCTTAACTCCCTACCCAGGCGTACAGTGTTCGTTTGAACCCATAACTGTTGTCGTGTGTGGTAGTAGTGTAGTGGGAGGCAATTGCGTCATGTCAGCAACAGTGTCTGACCTATCACTTGCTGGGTAACAGGTTCGGACCGTCGATAAATACTGCAGCCTTCGTTCTTCAGGTGCATTTACTTGTCGCAATCTCTGTTGATGGCCTCCATAGTGAGTCCGAAACGTTAGGCAAATTGTTCTTGTTCCAGCGACCGAGTCATCTTCATGCTACCCATCCTTTCCCACTCGTGTGAATTCTTCAACATGTACATCAGTTAGCCGGACCACAGTAATGGTTTTTTATAATCAACAATTTTATTGGTTCCGTTACTGCCTGCATTTTAGTCGTTCTTTACACCTACCGAAGTGGATTACACTACCTATTCTATAATTCTAAATGACTGCTTTTGTCTCTTCTCCCTAGATCTGTGATGCGTATAAAGCTATTGGCCTCATCGGCCAGTTTCTTATCACCGACGATCGTTCTATGCTATCGCTTGATGTTATGGTAAGTGTGACGTGCGTTAGTTCCATTTATTTCTTCCCAACCCCCCCTTACCCTGTTACCCCCTCCCATCCTCTTCGTCTGCCTTCTTCTCCCTCCTCTCCTCGTTAATTAGTGCGCGCCGGTTTAATACATTTCCATCTTCTCCTTATCTCTTACGCCTTCCTCTTATTTCTCCACCTTTGGTGATGTTTTTGGTCAGCTGTTAACTTTCCCTAATCCATTTAGCGGTGCCCCATATTTCTGATTCCCCCCGCTTTCTCCTAATTTTGTAGAACCTCCAGCGCAACTTCCCCGACGTCCGCACGGAACAGGTGTACGCCATTTTGATGCTGCGTGGCGACTTGAAAACGAATGAAGCCAAGGAGGTAGGTCCAATCCCTCGCCCACTCCCCCCACTTTAACACATTTTTTTACCTGTGCTGATGTGTGAACAATGATTCTCGATACAGACCGTCGGATAAAGTGCGATCTGGACTCGTTGTATTTACGAAATTTCACCGTTTACCTAGCCTCTACATCACCGATTCTGGACATTAATGCACCGAGACTCTCCATTTTAAGCTAAGAGCCATACTTATTTTTGAAACCAAATGCAATCGGAATTTCAGAATGGTGTCACCCAATCGGCTCACGACGTTTAACCAAATGGTTTCTCTTGTCCTCTTTTACAGCTCTCTACCAACTCTGATAAATCAGGCTCCACGCAAAGATCTGGTTTGGACATTTTTACGAGGGTTGCATCAGAAGCGGTCCGTTAATTCTTACCCCTTTACCACCCATCTTGCCTCTGCGTTCCTTTTGATACATATCTACTGAAGCACCACACAAACACACACGCATCTGATTTATTTCCTTCCACCAGTTTTGTTCTCGATGATCGTGGCACCTAAAGCCTTTCAATTATGCTTTTTATGAAATTGAATTACTCATTTCATCCACCGAGTTACTTTTTGTACTATCTGGACTGCTGACTCTTTCAAAGTGCCTGCATAGCCGGACGGTAAGAGGAGAATAGCCTTTTTGGGAAACAAACACCTTATTAACGGCCTGCGAACACATGGGTTTTCTCCTCTTACGCCAAACTCGTCTTATTTATCTAGTGCCACAAGCGTTTTTAGAATATTCTGGCCTATCGCGTACCAAATTGTTGAGGGCGTTCCAGAGCCTTCCGGCCGTTGTTGTTGTTGTTGT